TGCCCTCGGTAATTAATTGGGGGGGGGGGATATGGAGGGGGGGGAAGGGGGGAGGCACCTTTCATCTCCAGCATGACGCAGTCGGGCACGTCCTCGCCCTCGGCCTCGCGGCGCAGCCCCAGGCGCCGGCCCCACTCCTCCTCCCCCGGCACCAGCACCACGGCGCGGCGCTGGAAACCATGGAACGGGGCCAGCTTCCGCCGCTGCCCCGACCCGTACACGTTGCACTGGGGGGGGGGGAGAGAGAAATTGGGGGGAATTAGAGACATTTAGGGAAAAAATAACAAATTTGGGGAGAAAATATGGAAATTTGGGAAGAAACAGGCAAAATTTGGGAGGAAAAATGGAAATTTTAGGGGAAATTAACAAATTTTGGGAGGAAAAATGGAAATTTTAGGGGAAATTAACAAATTTTGAGAGGAATATATGGAATTTGGGGAAGAAACGGGCAAAATTTGGGAGGAAAAATGGAAATTTTAGGGGAAATTAACAAATTTTGGGAGGAATATATGGAATTTGGGGAAGAAACGGGCAAAATTTGGGAGGAAAAATGGAAATTTTAGGGGAAATTAACAAATTTTGAGAGGAATATATGGAATTTTGGGAGGAAACAGGAAAAAATTTGGGAGAAGAGATGAATTTGGGGAGGAAACAGGAAAAAATTTGGGGAGGAAACTGGAAAAAATTTGGGGAGGAAACTGGAAAAAATTTGGGGAGGAAACTGGAAAAAATTTGGGGAGGAAACTGGAAAAAATTTGGGGAGGAAACTGGAAAAAATTTGGGGAGGAAACTGGAAAAAATTTGGGGAGGAAACTGGAAAAAATTTGGGGAGGAAACTGGAAAAAATTTGGGGAGGAAACTGGAAAAAATTTGGGGAGGAAACTGGAAAAAATTTGGGGAGGAAACTAAGAAAATGTAGAGGAAATACAGAATTTTGGGAGGAAATATGGAAATTTCTACAGAAACGTGTACGGGTCGGGGCAGAATAGAGACATTTAGGCTTCCGCCGCTGCCCCGACCCGTACACGTTGCACTGGGGGGAAACACAGGGAATTAGGGCAAAATACACAAATTTAGGCTTCCGCCGCTGCCCCGACCCGTACACGTTGCACTGGGGGGGGGAAATAGGGAAATTGGGGGGAATTAGAGACATTTAGGGAAAAATACGGAAATTGGGGAAGAAATTAACAAATTTGGGGAGGAAATGTGGAAATTTGGGAGGAAATGGGCAAAATTTGGGAAGAAAAATGGAAATTTTAGGGGAAATTAACAAATTTTGAGATGAAATATGGAATTTTGGGAGGAAACAGGAAAAAATTTGGGGGGGAAACTAAAAAATTTGGGGGGGAAACTGGCGAAATGTGGGAGGAAATGAACAAATTTTGGGAGGAAATTAAGAAAATGTAGAGGAAATACAGAATTTTGGGAGGAAATATGGAAATTTGGGAGGAAATATGGAAATTTCTA